TTAATGTGCAGTAGATCAGCGGCTTAAAATGGCAGGCCTAATTATAATAGATAAAGCTCTCTCGGTCATGTCCTCATATTTTAACAGGTGTGATACTTAAATACGGTTAACTGGAGTCTACTTATTACAAGTAATTTTAAAAGGTCATCGGGATTTCCCTATTATAGGAAAGAACATGTGATTTGGAGACTGACTTTGATCTCCAAGATCTAACCACATGAAAGCCACATTTGAAGACTGACAAAATTCACACACGTTCATTTAGTTTATAAAAAATACGGAATGTTTGGGCCTGTGAGCAAGACTTTTGCATGGTTTAATGACATACAGACTAATTAAATTGTCCTATCAGGTAAGCGAATGGACTGAACTGTTTGACGGAAATGAGAAATAATGTCTCCTTGAATTTATATAAAGCTCAGTTTAACATTATATTAACCATAGATTATTCCATCAGATGCATGCCTAACCAACTGTTTTATGAAGCTGAACACTCACGTACTATCAATTTGTTTGGCATTACATGGTGTGTACATGAGCTAAGCAGTATAAATAATTGTGCCATAGTGCGCTACATGAACTCAGTGAAGGAAAACCTGTTCAAAAGCCACCAGGCTATCGTCATCAGGTATAATCTCAGATGTTTTCCCCAACCGTTTAAGGTAGGGGACTTGGCTTGTAAGAACTATCCCCTCAGTCAAGCAGCTCAAAAGGTCTGTGCTGTATTATCTCCTCGGCGCGGACCTTTTCGTGTTTCGAAGTTTTTGACGCCTGTTATGGCTAGTCTGGTTGACCCGGTGAACAGGGATTCCTAACAGGTGTTCATCTCTCACAGATGAAATTAGGTTACAGTTAAGTATCTGTCATTTGTAAACTTGGAGAGATGTCCAAGTGAAGAAAGGGTGTTGTTATATTTCCTTCTGACTTGTGTAAACCAAGGGTAATTGATCTTGTTAATAATTGAAGTTAGTTGTAAATTGTGTAAATCAAGGGTAATTGACTTTGTTAATAATTTAAGTTAGTTGTAAATTATGTAAACCAAGGGCATTGACTGTGTTAATAATTTAAGTTAGTTGTAAAGTTAGGGGCTGCTAACAAGCATAATGCTTGTATCTTTATTATGGTATTTATATTTAGCTCTGTGGTATTTTGTTATACCCTGTTAGTTAATGGTAATTAACTGTTCTTTGTATTGCTTCTTATTGTTGGTGTTATTATGTGGTCCTTTGAGTTCCAGGAACACAGTTCTCTTTCCTGTCTTACCGTTTCCCTTGCGCGTGTGTCACTTTCGTCGCCTAGATTCATCCTTTCTTCGGCTCCCTGCAGCAATGTCGGCTACTGCCTTCATCGCCTTGGGATGCTCTTCCCCAAAAGGGACCCTGTTGAAAAGGGTTATATTCTACTCTTTGTTTCCGGTATCGTAACCAAAGGAGGCTGCCACATGTTTTCACAGAGACCAGATTGGTGTGAACAGATGAGCACTCTCATCATCTCTCGGGCGCTGGTCCCGGATCGCATGATGAAAGTTGTTTGGACAGCCAAATTTCCTCCGGTGATGTGTACCTTGGTGTGCCAGTGAAAATGGTGTTTATACCTGAGTGTACTGTTTGGGGAGGGAGGTTGTACCATGGACAGCCGTAACCAAGAGGTTACGACTGATGAAACTAGGATCTTCATAAACTTGCCTGGGTGGGCCATGTGCAGTTGTCCTATTCCCCCACCCCTTTACCTTTTCCATCCACTCCTTGGGATTGTGTTGCCTGGTAACTGGAGGACCACTTCTGTATGGGATTTCACCTGAGACACTTTGACAAATTCCGTTTCGATTCCTCTTTTTAAATTTCACTTTGGTTCGTAGTGTTCGGTCCTGTGCAGATTTTCCGGCTGTTGAGATGTCCGCTGTGGTAAGTTCTGTTTTTGCTTATTATATTTTATTAATCATCCAGTGGATGTCGCACCAGTGTGTATTTTTTGTTTATTTCGTTTATAATTCTTTGTATTCATGTTAATAAATGATAATATATACTTATTTAGATTTGTGTTCTATGTGGCCTTTATAATTGTACTGATCCACGCTGTTTATATCTAAATATCTGATTTCTGGCCCAGGATGAATACTTGCGAAGGTCGAAAGCACAAACTGCAGCACTCGATTGGATGCGTGTGTGTGCACACAAAAGTGGACTGGCAGTTATACAGAAATTTAGATTAAAATATTTAATACAAACTACTCACAAGCACATCGAAAGAATCAAGAGACTGTGCTACTAAATTTTGTTTCCATTGAAAAATAATTTTCACAATATATGAAATTATGAGGACAACATAATTTTGCCTATGTAAATTATGGTATGTCTAATGTCAGTAGACAGAAGAAAGGTTTGAATAAACATTAAAGTATATTACTGCTACTCCATAACTCATATATGCAGATACTTAATGCCTTGACAACTTCAGGAAGGTGCACTGTCAAATTAATATTAACACAAGCACATTTCATTTCTAGATCTAAGTCACACCACTTGTCAGCACCATCAACTCTAACATTCAGCACTGGCTTTAAGTGGCTAATTTGTACAAAGCTGCTTACGTGTGTCTCCAAACTACAGATGTAATATCCAAATTATGTTCTCTCATTATGTGAACATCACACAGTTTTGCATTGTGGGACCAGAGGCAGCAGCTTGAAGAATTACATATTCTGATGAGCTTCAGCAGTAAAAATTATACTGGTATTTCACATCAACTGAATATACAAAGTAATTAAATTCATAAAACTGTTACTCTGCTGATATAAGACATATTACTGTGTTTCTTTTGAAGTCCATTCTACTAATATTCTTCACTGACTTGTGAAAAATATTCAGTAATGACATATGGAGAACACTAATTGTTTATAGGTATGATGTATGGGTGTTTAACTTCCAGCACATGATCAGTATGTCCATTAATATTCTCATGTTCCATTTCTACTTACGAGGAAGATTCTGAGATTACCTGACTGTCTCCACTCATGTGTGCAGCCCCAACAGTTACTATGATAACAGGCATGAACTTCAGCACAACTGCACAGGTCCTATACTCATCAGCATTACGTTCTCTTTCAAATTTTACACAAAATGCCAACAGCCTCTGCAACACATTAACATTTTTAGACACTATGCTGTATGCTGCACCTTATGAGTGGTCAAGATGCCCATCCGTCACATAATCATACTACAGAACTCTCAAGCTAACTCCAGCCAGCAGATCACAGTGTCCAGATCTAAATCCCCTGTTCGCATGCAAAGGCTAAGAATGTAGTTTTGTAAAGCCTGCAGTAGGCCTCTGTACCATACCAAGCAGCAAAAGACAACAGATATAAATCATCAGTTTAGGTACTACTAAAAGATATGCCTTTAAAATGGATATTTTTGTAAGAGTGCAGTGACATAACACGCATTCACTGTCTGACATTTCAACATTTAGCTAAGCCGCAGCCTTAACAGCAGCCCACCTATCCACAATGGTCCCAGGCTCGTCTGATGGAAATAAACTACTAGGAAAGAATGAACCTGTTGGTAAAATCTGCCAAACAACATACTCCCTGCAACTATCATTTAACTGGGCATTACCTGTTACAGCTGAACTACATGGTAACTAGCCCCTACATGCAGTCCTCATCAAGTCTGAACTCAATATTATTACTTCAGGGTCACCAACTCTGTAATGACAAGTGTTCATGTGAAAGACAGATAAATGAAAATAGCAGAATAAGCAGTAGCTCAGGTTATAGGTCCTATGATCAAGGAATAATTAAGTGAAATGTATGTATTGTTAGGGGCTATGCATTTCGTCTATTACGTAACCATGATCAGGTCTGTTATCGCATCATTTATTTGTAGCATATTAGTGTGTTTTTTACTGTTAAGATAACCAATGACTAATTTCATCTTTTTCACCAAATATTAATTCAATGTGTTGAAGGAAAATGTAATGGCCTGGGCATGTAGCAACCATAGGACTAATGAAATGTATGCAGAGTTTTAGTCCCAAAGCCTGAGTGGCCCAAAGGCAGATGTTAGGATATGTATAAGGAAGTGTGATGTGATATAACGTGAGAGGAACTTGTTCTAAAGAGGAAGAACTGGGCCACTTATTAAAGGAAAGTAAAGTCGAAATTTCGGTGATAACAGAAAGCAAGCAAGAGTTAAAAGGAACTAAAGATACCAACAAATTTTCAGTCACATACAGTGGAGTAAGGGAAAATGAAAGCGCCCAACCAGGAGTCATAAAACTAAAGGTACCAAAAAAGTTTCTGTACGCGCTCAACCAGGAGTCATGATTTGGATCCATAGATCATTGTCTAAATCTATAGACTTTTACAAATACTGGAATGATAAAATTATAGAAATAACATTAAAAATAAACATGAGTTGTTTGGACTGTGTGCACTGGAAGAAGAAATAAATGAGGTGAGTGATGAATTTTATGAAGCAGTACAATGTATTTTAGACAAAATAAATAAAAATGGCTGTTTCTTGTTGATGGGTGATCCAAATGTAAGGATTGGAAACATGAAAGCAACAAATATTATTGTGCCACATGGCGTTTTATGCTACGGACGAAGTGCTGGCGGCTAACTCTGAATTCATCTGCACACGTGGGTACGATCAGTGTTTAACACAGTTATCTCTTAATTATATAACTCCTAGTATAAATATCTCGTTAAAATTCATGGTGGAATGCCCTTCGTATCCTGAACACTGTAGTACCTCTTTGCCCAGTGTTTTTTTCCCTTCTTCTTACACACGTCTCCTTAGCTTTCCTCGCCCATCCTTGAAGCCGCATTCTTCTTAAAAAGTAATACTAATCCAAGACTAATTGGGCCAAAAAGGTCGCCGAAAATATGGTGAACAACGATAAAAGTATCAGCGGTCAAACGATTTGAATTAAGCGCTCTCTGTTCGCACTGACATCTCTGGTGTGAGTATACAAACAGTCCAGAACTATACTGGCGGTTGTGTATGCGTCGTTTGTTTATGGTGAAGAAAAAAATTTCGTTGTAGGCGCATGTATTATAAGTTTTAAAGTTAGAAGATTCCACGGAAAGTGTAACTGAGTGTTCGTTATTCTTAATACAACTGTTAGCATTTAAAAGTATAAATATATATGTCTATCCTGAATCTGCGGTCTTGTAACAAACTGGGTTCAGGCGGAAACAAATAATGCGTTATGTTAAACACTGTTGAGGTGCTGTTTCTGGTGCTCCATTGGCCAGTTACCAGGTAGTGTGACCGTATAAAGACTTCTTTCAGTCCCTGCTTATGGTCTATTAAGCATTTTTTGTAGTTGATTTTATATGGGAAACATGCCTTGAGTTAGCCATATTATCGGAGCAAATTTTTTTCTCTGTACGTAATAAATGCGCAAGTTCCTAGTCACGTGTATTTTGTCGTTATGTTATGTACTTACACATTAAAATACATAAAATTAACATACAAAGTACAGTGAATAAATAAATGCACCTATTAAGTAAAAGCGTCAGCTTTATCTTGGGTTTTGTATAAGTCGGTATTACCCCAGGCACATGGCAGAATTACTCTGTATTCCGTCTAATGTGTTTTTGCAAAATTTTGTCAAATAATCAAACGTAGAGCAGAAATGATGCTGTCATATGCTGACCACTTACCCCCATCTATTGCTGATGTCAAGAATGAGTAGGAGATATATCACCTCTCTCCCCAAGCGCCTACATGGTCCATAGTGTGGCTGATTTAGTTTTACATTTTAGAGCAGGAATTATTACAGAGTTCTCTATTGTGTTGTCTTCATGATGAATTACTCTCTAAGATTCAGTGTTTAGCTATTGTAAACAATGTTCATAAAGCAAAACAATTAAATCTTCATTTAAAATCGGATGTGTGAAATAACTGATTATATTCTTAATTTTTCTGTTTCTGGAGGCCATTGTGAGTGTCTGTGAGGGAAAGTGTGAAGAAATGAAAGTGACAGATTTCAGCTGTTGTCCTAATTTGGATTCTTGCAGGCAACTGATTGGTGGAGCTTTGGTGTTTTGAAACAGGAGATATTGTTGAGATCTACGCGTTTTGAAGCAGAAGGAGAAAACAACCAGCAGGTGATATTTGAGTGATTCTCGGCATCTGGAAACAGATAGGATATTCATGTTCCCTGGGTACAGCAAGTTTTTTAAACAAGTTGTAAACAAATTAGTTTGCCCCTAACACAGACCCAGTTAATATATGTCATCTGTTTTAATGCCAGTGAAGTAGGTGCATTTACATGTGGATAGTTAACTTAAAGAAAGAAAACAAAATGCGGGCAGAAAACTACCTGATGGTCAACAGGAAGTAAGTAATTATGGTTATACAGGGAATAAACAATGTGAGGGACAGGGAAGGAAGTGGTTCCCAATGCGTAGAACACTAAAAACAATAATCTTAAAACTTTGCATACCGTGTAGTGTATTAGAATATAAAGTAAGCAAACCAACAACTATTAACACTATAAAAAAGACACTATTGCCATACGTGTTTCGACCTCAAGAGTCATCATCAGTGGCATCAGGGAAATTAATATATTTAGTCAAATGGTTCAAAGTGGATTCAGAATTAAAAATGAAAAGGGTATTTGACAAAAATATTTGAAGTGACACTGCACTAGATATTGTTATTCACAGGAGTAGAACTTGCACTTAGCTATTGATCCGGTGTTCGGTGGCCGTAGCTGGTCTCGTCAAGCTATAGTTGCGGAAGCTGCGAGCAGGTCTATATTGGCCAAACCGGTAGGGATTTTTAAACTAGATTTAAAGAACACGTCCATGACATCAGATTCAATTACATTTACCGATTAAGATTGAAGAGACACTTAGGTCATATTTGCAACCTTGCATTTATTCCCAAAAGCATAATTCCATTATGGCAGGCTATATTCATCAACTGACCATAGAGAAAGTCCACAGCTCATGTGGTTAGTCGCCAAGTTCTCAATGTGGGAACCTGGGTTGAAACCCGAGGCAGTCCATGTAGGATTTATGGTGGGCAAAGTGACACTGGGACACACTCATTTCAGAGATCTTTGGTTCACTCAGACACTAGATTATTATTGTCCGTTGCTCCGCATTATTTGTGGGCTGTAAAATCGGGGTTTCTATCAAATGCATTTCCAGAGAGGCATTTGCCTCCCCTCAGGATAATAACAGTAATGCAGAATGTTGCAATGTTAAACTCAAAACATTACACAATTAAAATCAATAATATAAAATATAGAACGGTCTATGGATTGTATAAAATCTATTGTTGCCATGTGTAATGTAGCTCTGATGTTTCTCCTTTATCAGTGCTAAAAGAAAACTTGGGACCAGCTTTACATGGAGTGTCAAACGTTTATTATTATGGGGTGACCATTTATTATCGTAATTTATGTTTAGTGTTTGCTTGTATACAGTTGTTCTATTGGCCCAGTATGTGTTGTGATCATCAGCGGTGTACCGTTGTTCTAGTTCTGTATTCTACAGTCCACGACTGTAATCTTGAGACTTGCGGGGAGAGGATGTGGGGTGAAGGAGGAAGGAGGAAAGATAGCGCCTGTCTTTAACACTATAGACTTCTTACATTCCTTTCAAGTCTCAAGATTACAGTCGTGGAGTGTACAGTGGTATACTGTGATAATGGGCCAATTCCTGGTTTCCTGACTCGTGTTCTAACTTAATCCCATAAAATTATTGCAATAATCATTTGACAGTGTCCATAACGGAAATACTAACCAGCCACGTGTAAGGTCACACCCGTGCACTGGTAAATGTGATTCTGCAAACCCTCCCTCACTGGGAGAGCATGCAATTCAAATGCAGCAGGGAAGATGTCGAGCAGTTTACCCAAAGTCTTATTAAGAATTGTCATAAACTACTAATGGACTAATGGAGTGAATAAAAGACCAGAGAGCGGCTGTGTTGCCACACATGTTGTTTGATTCTTGTGCTCCATTTTCTTACTTGAAAGTCAGTTGTGATTGGTGTTTAGTATTGGGGAGTGTTCACACTGATGGAATTGAAGCTCAACCAAAACAGCATCATACCGGAGTTGAAATTTCCTGTTAGTCTCACTCACCCAACTCTTGGTTGCTGAGTTCATCATTAAATTATATTCCAGATCGACTTTTCCTACTGAAGCAGGTGAAGTTGCCTCAGGTAAACAAGCAACCTTCACCTGAAGTCAAGGTGTGACTGGCAGTGAGTTGAAGTGGCTCTAGTTCCACAACTTAACAGCAGGTTGCATTAAAGTCAAGTTGTGACAGAACCGTAAGCAACTGGATATTTCAGTTGAACGTGAAATGCCAAGTGCAAGAACAGTTGGTTCAAACTTGAGTTGCCGTTACACTCCATAGGAAGTGTGAATGTGTTTGTTGAACAAACTACTGCATGGAAGTGACTGCTGGTGTTATTTTGTTTTTCTTCTTTTAGTGAACAGAATGTGAATTGAATGGTGCAAGAATCAAGTGACGCATTGGCTTCTACACTTAAACGTGAACCTCATGCTGCATCATTCAAATACCAGGTGAGATATCTTATTTAATTTTAGAAGCAACATACTTACATCAACCGTTAACCAATATTTCTACAATTTCATGTGTGTCCAGACAATGGAACTCCGTTTCGATGTTGGTATTCTAGATTGTGACGCCATGCAAATGTGCAAGTAGATGCTTACATTTAAGAGAAACTACTGCCTACATCATCAGCCCTGATTTATGGAGGGAGTAAACGCTTCTTAGAAGCTTGTGTCTCCCTACAAGTTCGCACAACATTTTCTCCAAAAAAGACCGGCATCAACATCTTCAAAATGCTGTGAGAACATCAAATTTCACATAGTTGAACTCTGTTCCTCTAATTTCTGTACATGATTTCAAACTAAAACACCTTGTAGTCTTGCATAAAAGTGTACTGCAGTCTGTAATCTCACGTTCAGAAATATGTAAACATCATTCCAGTCTCTTCCTCACTGTGTCAGATGTCCTTCCAAGGACATCTTGTCTGGTTCAGAGGCCTCTCGTTTTATTCTCTTAAAACCGTCAGTTCTTAATATTTTTCATTCTCTGTTAGTTTCAACTGCCTGTATAACTACTTACAGATATGCTGAGAAACGCAGTTGCAATACTTATGGTTTCGGCAGTCTCAGATCACATTTTTGTTCTCTTAGTATTAATTGGTGAATATAGTGACTTAAAACACAACTTTCATGCTGTCATGTGCTGTAATAACAGAGAAGAGTGGGCTTTTTATTTCTCAGTGCTCTGAGTTTTTACTTTGTGTTATGTCTGCTTAATTTGTTGCTTTGCCCCATTCAGTGTTATGGCTTATTTTCAACAATATCAATGACTCGGATTATATGGCGTCCTGTGATCAGCCGATCAGTGAATGATGCACTGTAAATGGTGTGCAAGGAAGAACATTTTGCATCACTTAAGGTAATATTCAATATTTTCATTGACTAGCTGAGGAAAACCTGAATGAGTATAGCTGTTGTGTGGACTGAGGTATCTGATGTGAGTACCTCCACTGATGAATGCATTAACTCCCCCATAAAGGTAATCACTAAGCAGGTTTACTTTGTCATTTTGGCACTCAATGTTTTCTTCAGTATATCTCAGCCTTTGCTCTGGAAATTTTATTTATAGAATTGGTTTCTGTAAACAGAATTTCTTGTTTCAGGTTACATAATTAAGTTAAAGTTTTGGGAATTAAGGTACAGTCTGACATAAATTTAGCTTATTTACTCAAATAATGAGGAATCTATTACTTTCCACTGTAAAGACTTACGTTGAGATATTTTGTCCACACTGAATTTCTTAACGCAAGTTTGAGTATTCTCATTTATAAAACTGCATGAAGTATCTGGTGCTGTCTTCCATCACTAGTGCCATAAGTTGTCCAGGTATTAGCGACCGTCTCATACACTTCTGGCTTAATTTATACAAAATTGATATGTGTATGTTGCCCTAACAAAGAATATGATTTTGAATTTGTCACTAGTAGTCTCTGCATGTACTGATAGTGACAAGGAGTGGAAAATCCAGTAGGAATGACAGCACCGCAAGTTGACAGGAAGACAGGGCAACATGAAAGAGGAGACATGTCATCAGTTCAGAAGACTGCAGAGGGCCAGTGAATTAAGACCAAAGTTCAGTTTTCTGAATGGATGAAGACATCAGAGTGGTGAAGAAGAATCATCTTCAACGCCTCTCCTGAAAGTGCGTGCAGGAACTCACAGCCAGTCCATGGATTCTCCATCGCAGTAACGTATAACTAAACTTTACAGTGTGTAACTTTGGCTTAAGGAATAAGCAGTGTAGAATGTTGAACGTTTTCCAAAGTTTTGGCAAACGCTTGTGCTGCTATCATCAGGGTGAATGTCTTTTTGAAAATTCGTAAGCTTCTTCTTGACTTGGCATTGGGGACATGATTATAATACCTGAGGAGCAATGAACTATTCATTGTGGCCAGGTGCACTGCTAGCTTCCCATCGTTTATCTGTTGATCTGTGCTAATTGTTATGCACATCTGTTTGGTAATTTCCCACTATTTTCATGATTATAGAATTTCTGATTTCTAGGTTCAACTGTTTCTTTTAACTTCTTTCATTTCAGCATTACTTACTGTGGGAATTATAGTCAGTGCTGTATGGGCTGTAGAAATGGACATTCTTTTCGGTGGATTTCTCTTTTTTAATAGTAAAGTTTGCACTTGTTTCTCTAATCCTGATCCGAGAATGAAATGGAAATTCGTTCTGATACTGCTCAGCTTCATGAAAAAATTTATAGTGGTACTGGGCTGAGAGCTTGGAATACTTTTCCATCAAAGTGCCACATAATCTGTGAAATATAACTCATCTCAATTTAATTATTTCAAAAATTACAAACCATGGCAATGCAATTTGTCTTTCACAGTATTAACTCTGTTCATATCTGTGCAGGAACTACAGTAACATATTACTCAGCTTGGCCTACAAATCCATGCACTGACTTCCCTTATGCAGTGCACTCTTGTACCCATATACCAGCTTCAGTGTCCTGTGCATAAATTTTGTAACCATTCCTCTGTCAGTACCATTCTTCTGTCCGGTTCATATCTCAATATTTACAACTGATCTCCCTAAATTTACCTCTAATCACAAGTCGTGGCCTATTGTACCACTAATTTGCTACTGAACATCTCAGGATTGAAGGGCTGAAAATTCCATTGGGTCACAGGTTTATCCTTTGGTAAGAGTATGATGCATTTCCTACAATTTGCCATCACTTTCTGGTCCTTTGTCATCTTAAATAGCACAGCTGTATTACAGTTTGCTTGCTTCATAAAAACTAGTTATATCCACCTCAAAAGACCTAGGGACTCGACCCACGGTCAGGGGGAGGTCAGTGCAAACGAGTCTTAGGGATCAGGTGTTTATGAAGGGAAGTGATAAAAATGTTCTAGCAGCCACTTGTTAGAATAATAGGTATATAACCAGTGTTTACTGAAACCTTTAACATTGTACGCTGCTTGTTCTCCAAAGGAGTTATTCTTTAAGCTCAGACAAAATTTAGGCTTGGAGATGGATCATCACAAAGTAATGCGGAGTAAACCATAGTTTGATGATGAGTGCTCAAAATAGTAGAGAAATGGGAGCAGGCTAAATTACAGTGGTTGCAAAACCCAAGACAAATCAGTGGAGACAAGCAGCAAAATCTAAGATGTGAAAACAGTAGAACATTTAGGGAGAAAAAAAGGAGTTACCTAAGACAAAACATGAACTTGAATCTAATGATAGAAATGGAAGTATTAGAGATGTATAGTGATTCATAAATGAATTTAGAAAGGTTACCAACCTAGCGTTAATGTTATGGTAAAGTTCATGCTGCCACCATTGGTAAGGTCTTTTAGTTGCAGTGGTCCTAGGTCATGAGTCTAGAATTGGGTAGAGTCAAGTTTTAAATGTGTAGGTCGTGACTAGTTTCATCAGGGCGGTAATAATGGGGAATTGGCCTTTTTCATGGCGGAAGCGCAGCTCACTGTCTTATGGTTACTTAATTAGCCATTTGTGTTCTATACTAATTTATTCTGCTAAGTGCATACACTAAATCTTACAAAGCCATCATACTTAAACTATATGTAACAAATATCTCTTAACTTACAACTGATCAGTGTTGCACCAGTTTCTCAGTTATTTTGTTAAAACTCATCTGTTCCAAATTTTAAACAATTTTACGACCAAGAGGCACAAACGGTTCTAAATTGTTTCCTTAAATTCCAAGCAGTCGCTTACCTGTAATGAACAGAAGGGGGAGCCAGTTCTTCATTGTGCTTTTCTCCTGGGAGCCTGGCTTTAAAGTGACGATCGCTTGGGTATCAACATTCGGATTATCGTGTCTGCAGGTGCCAAAGGGAAACGAAACTGCTTACACTGCTGATACTACAATCTGTCCCGCACAAATGACCAGCTGTTTCACTTTATCTTTATTACAATATTCCCGTTGTTTCAAAACAAAGCGTCCTTGCTTTGTATCTCCTAACCAAATTTTACTGGGGGGGGGGGGGTTTGCAAGCAAACAGACTAATAAAGGAACAAGCACAAAACTTCTTCTGCTTCATTTACTTACAAAGCTCAAACAAAATTATCTTAATTTTTAAATTAACATATCATATATGTAGCAAATTGTTCATGCTGTGACAGTGGCAAAGCTTCATTTTTCTTTTCCTGAATTTCCACTTAATTGTGAACGTACTTTCTTGACGCACTGTATTTGACAGAAATCTTTATCGTGTTCAGAGCTCTCTAGGTGCATCATTCACAAGGGAATGGTCCGGTTGGTCAGGTCGAAACCTCACCTCAGATTTTCTCGTCTACAGAACCCATCTAGTAATGTTTGTCCACAAAATTTCAGCTGAAAATACGCTGTGCAAGGGTGCTAAAAAATTGCTCAAAATTGGAATGTACAGTTAAAATTTGTGCCACCACGCACACACGTGACAACAGCTCACCAAAGCAGTGGCACGGTATTCACCATGCAATGATGTGCGTGGGCCAGATGACATGAGGGCAGTGAAAGACTTAAGAAATGTCACACACACACATGTTTATTGAATAAGTACATACTTGAGAACCTTTTATCTGTATAATATACAGGTGTTTTATATGCTGCTTTGTGGAAGCAATGCACTGAAACTAAAGACTGAGAAAATAACTGACAGGTTTGGTGGGGTGGAAACGTGCAAGGGAATAGAAATGGAGTGGGATTTGTAGTGAGAGTAGGTCTGATGGAGGAGGTAGAGTGGGTTAATGATAGGATAATGAAAATGACTATAGCAGGGAAGGATGACAAACTCGAATTGATACAAGTTTATGCCCCACAAGTAGGATGCTCTGAAGATGAAAAGGAGAAATTCAGGGAAGAGTTGGAGAGGTGGATTGGGAGAGAGGGACAAATAGTAATGGGGGATCTAAATGCACAGATGGGAAGTGATAGAATGGGTCTGGAAGATGTGCTGGCACCTGAGGGGCGGGGAGGAAGAAATGAAGAAGGGCAAAGACTGCTGGAGATATGTGTAAGGAATGGGATGATGATAGGAAACAGCTGTTTAAGAATAGAAGAGACAGTCACAAAGTAACAAGGTACAGCTGGGATGGCAAGCATAAGTCAGTAATTGACTATTTCATTTTGGAAAAGGAAGTGAAGGAAAGATTGACGAACATCAAGGTTATACCGAGTGTGGCACTGGGTAGTGACCACATGCTCCTGGTAGCTGAAGTGAGGAGAAGAAAGTTGTGGAGGAAAGGGTGCAAGCAAGAGAGGTGGATAAGAGTCTGGAAACTAAAAAAAGAGGAAGTAAGAGAGAAATTCAAGGAGGGGATTGTAAAGATGGTACCGAAAGAGGAGGTAGAGGGGGTTGAGGAAGAATGGAGACGGTTTAAGGAAGGAATAGTAAAGGTGGTGGAGGAAACGTGGGAGAACAAGTGGAAGAAAGAGGTGGAAAGAAACACCATGGTGAAATGAAAGGGTAAAGAGTGTGGTGATGGAGAAAAATGGGGCATTCAGGGATTGGTTCAAAGAGTGCACAGAGGTAAAGAGGAAAGCATATGAAGAAGCAAAGAGAAAGGCAGCAAGGGTAGTAAAGGAGGAGAAGAGGAATTGGATGGAAAAATGGACAAGACAGTTAGAGGAAGATGTAAGAGGAAACAGGTCAATATTGTACAAGTTGATAAGAGGGAGAAGGAGAGGACAAAGTGAAATGACAAGGCCAGTGGAGAGAAGAGCAGCATGGATTCAGGGATGGGAGATCAACAATAGATCTGATATTTGCAGTGCACCAGCTGTAGGAGAAGATGTATGAGTATGGGAAGGAACTGGTGATGGCATTCATGGATATAGAGAAAGCATATGATAGTGTAGATAAGAATATTTTGTGAGAGGTCTTGGAGGAATCAGGAGTAGACATGGAGCTGGTGTCAGGGGTGAAGAGTCTCTACAGTGGAAGTGTAGGGTGTGTAATGACAGAGTATGGGCCAAGAGAGTGGTTTAAGCTGAACAGTGGAGTGAGGCAGGGAAGCGCAATATCTCGACTGATATTTGTGGTACTGATGGAAAAGGCAGAAAGAGTCAGCGAGAATGGAATGAAAGCAATGGTGTTTGCAGACGATGTGATGGTGTGGGGAGAGAGAGAGAAGGAAAAGTGCAGGAACAGTTGGAAGTATGGCAAGAGGAGGTAGAGAGGTGTGGCATGAAGTTTAACATCAAGAAGTGCGAGGTGGTGTGTATGTCAAGAATGCAGAACAAAGTATGGAATGGGATTGAGTTAAGGGGAGAGAAACTTAAAATGGTGGAGAGGGTCGCAATAGGTTGGAGCTAGTAAGGAGGGGACAGCAGTGAGAGAGTTTCTACAGAGCGGTGAAAGATTTACTGTGGCAACGGGAAGTCCCAATGAGGTGCAAGAGGTCGCTGTATGAGGTGTACCTTGTACCAATTGTTACGTATGCAGCAGAAACTTGGACATTGGGAAGGAAGGAGATACAGAAGGTGGAAACAATGGGTATGAAGTTTTTGAGGAGTGTATTGGGTATAACAAGGAGAGATAGAGTACAAAATGAGGAAGTTAGGAAATGAATGGATGTGAGGGGTCTGGTAGAGAGAGTAGAAGAAGCAAGAATGAAGTGGTATGGATACGTGAAGCGAATGGGAGATGGGCGAATAGCACGACAAATGTTGAATTTGAGATTGACTGGCACAAGACCACGAAGAAGGTGGGATGAGCAGATAAAACGAGGAGTGATGGAGAGAGGTGCCCAGTGGCAGTTGGTGGAAGAAGAGGAGTGGTGGAGGGACAGGAAGAGATAGATTGGCTTTACCAAGCGGATCCGGTTCCAGGCTGGAAACAGCAATGGATGATGATGAGGTTTGGTGTTAATATGTACAACGGCCAATGTTCTTGTTTCTCTTCTCGTAGGCGGGTTTCGTGGAGTTCCAACACCGTCCACATATCCTTGTTGCAGTGGGATTTAGCCATAGATGATATGTAATCTAGTTGGCTGATGTCTTCCTTGTTTTGCCAGTTGTAGTTTTTGAAGTTCATTCACTGTTATCGTCTCAAACGGTTCTGGTAGGGAGGGAGAATTCATGGTGAAGGACTGAGGTTGCTGTGCTGCCACGTGTAGTTGCGTATACTTGGAAACTCCCGTCCAGTATGTAACAGGAGCTTGTATTGTGTAAAATTCCATTTCCTCCAAGAATTAACCTGTGACTCTGTCTAATGCCATTTGCAAAACATTTTGCTTGAACACACTGTTCTGAGTTGTCTTCATTTACAGGTCTGACACATAATCTTGGAATTCATCTACAGCATAAATGTTTATTCTATGAGTATATTATATGTTGTGTATTCTGTACTGTTTACTTTGCCAGGCTGTTACTATATGTGTTAGGAAATTTTATATTTTTTGTGCTGGTTTATATTTGGTTAGGGGCCTAGTCTATTAGTAAGTGGTTGAAATTAGTCCATTAAGTAAGGTTCTGTTCATTACAAAACTGTTGTACTGTCCAATTGTTTTCAGGTTTGTAATTTGGGTGGAATCCAGAAACTATGTGATGCCTTGCAGGAGAACCCTACATGGACAGTGACACATTTGTCTTCGTACTTATCACTTTCAGCATACTGTTATCACAAGGAATTTATAAGGTTATGAAATAAGAGATAACAATGTTAATCATTATGATGTTACATGTTAATATCACTTATATTACCCCTTTAAAGCCTAGGGTAACTATATGTTCCAGTTCAACAATCAGTAACTCTTCATTTTGTATTTATGGTTTTCATATGATTACGATGTAAACAGGAATTACTTACTTAAACAGAATATAGAATGAGCAAACAAGCAACTATTAACACTATAAAAGACACTATTGCCATACGCGTTTCAACCTCAAGAGGCCATCATCAGTGGCATCAGGGAAATTAATTCATTTAAACATATGGTTTAGACAATAAATAATGAATAGGGTATTTGACAAGCGACACTGCACTAAATGTTGTTATTCACAGGAGTAGACTCTGCACTTATCTATTGATCCGGAAAATTTACTTTCTCCTGTTTAAGGCCAGGTCTAATAATACATTAGAATCTTGGGTGTTTTGTTCGTTAATGATGGCTTTGAGTTGACTACTTTTGTATAAATGGAATTTTTCTAAAATATCTAGCATTTTACCCTTTGGAGCTACTCTTACTATATCCATGATATCATCTATGGAGCCATGTTCGAGGATGTGTTCGACATATTTCGATTTTGTTAAATTGAACCTGATGTTGTGGATGTGTTCTATAAATCTGGTTTTAAAATCCCTACCGGTTTGGCCAATATAGACCTGCTTGCAGCTTCCGCATTTTAACTTGTATACACCACTATTGTTGTGTTTGTTATCTTGTTTTCTTGAAGTGCATTTGAATTTTATGGTATTTTTAACTTTGTATGCTACTTTTACGTGTGTTTTTGAATATTTTAGTGAGTGTTCTAATGCTGTTATTAAAAAATGTAAAGGTGGACCATACTTTATTAGTGGGTTGGGGTACGTTGACATTGGGTTTAGGTGCTTTTATTAGGTTATAGGATCTTGTAATATCATTAAAATTGTAACCGTTGTTGTATCCTATTTCTTGGATGAGTTTGGTTTCTTGATCAAATTCTTCTTTGGAGAAGGGTATTTTGTGCAATCTGTTAACAAGGAAATTGGATGCAGCTTGTTTGTGAGAGTTGGGATGGTTAGATGTTTTGTGGATTACAATCTCTGAGAATGTGGGTTTTCTGTAGATGCCCAATTGGAATTCTTTTAGGTGTCTGTGAATGGTGAGGTCTAAACAATTACTTTTATTATTATTTTCTGTTTCTAGGTTGTAGTTTAACTTTTGGTGCATGTTATGATCATCTAGGATGTGTTCGGCTGTGGAGAATGATTCGTCAAAAATAATTATAATATCATCTACGTATCTAGCGATATATTTTATATGTCGTCGTTTTATTATGTTTGGGTAAAACTTCTTTTCAATTTCTTGCAAAAATATTTCAGACAAAACAGTACATGTGGCAACACAAAGATACCTCCCACCATAATGAACTGTAAATTTCCTTAGTAGTTACAATGCACAAGAGACTGGGTGCAAAGTTCATTAACGCCCACCCCTTTCTTGTTTCACCTCAATAGCTACAGGAAATATATGCTTGTAAACAGAACAGGCACAATAAAGACTTCTTGAGCATCTCAATGTTAAGTTACCTTATGAATTAACGGTGGTTTTAACATTAAACAGATTCTAGTCTAAACAAGAAATCTCAGGTAAATCCTACATTTCAACAAGTTCACAAGACAGAAGGTCAAACTCCAAGCACACCGAAGAAAATATAAGAGGTATGGAAACGTGCCATACGTTCACGGAGCAGTCGTTCTTGATAGTTACTCACCTAGTCGAGAAACGCGCCATCTTTATGGAACCTGAAAGCTTGTTTCCATATTCTAAAGAGTCCAACACTAATCCTCATCCTGAGTCAGATGAATCTAATACACACCCTCACAGCCCATTTCCTTAATTATCCTCCCATCTATGCCTATATCTCCCAAGTGATCTTCTCAATTTAGGTTTCAACAACCAAATTTAGTATGCATTTCTCATCTCTTATGCATATATCTCATCCTGAATATGTAGTTTTCTCTACCATCTTGTTATTCCTTTCCTTTTCCTCCTCAAAACCCTGTTGTCAAACATCCCCAATATGTAGGATTTGGGGTTTTCACAGTGGTGAGTAAGAAGATGGCTGTCTTCTGGGTTGTTGCACCGTGTAGTCTGGTATAAGTTTACAGACGTTTCAAGCCTACACTATGGAATAAAGTTGCAGGAACTATATTATATGACTGCATGTATCAGAAAGTATTCATATTTCAGGACAGTTTCATAAGGAAGTAAATGTTCATATTTACTTTGATCTGTTTATCCATCTGCCGATAGCTAGTACTTTTTTGGAATTTGTACAATGGCCATTAAGACAATTTGCAGAGAGTCATGGCATACATACACCTACAAATGGCATTTCATTTCTGCCAGCAGTTACACACATGGCTGGACAATACGCAGTGTGAGGTAAAGCAGGTCAGTTTGCTGTCTGGCTTTGTGTGCAGTAAAATTTTCTTGCAACAGTTAAACTGCACTTCCATGTACAGATATCACACTGCCTGCACACCAAGTGGAATCCCTCACTGCACTACTCGTTCTGGTCACCTTCCACTCTTGTGTACAGTCAGATTCCACCACTTGTTAATTCATGTCTACTGTTAATTCTTCTTTTGTTTTTAAATTTCAACTCTAAATATGTTTTCCTGCCCATATTGATTATATTGTCATGTTAAATACTTCCTTGACAGAACAATATTTCTGAAAAAAAAATTATACAATTCAACTAGAAAAATGTTTTATAATACAATATTTTCTTTTGATCAGGATATCAAAGTGCCAGTAGTATGAAACACACTTGGTTTAAGCTAAGTCTGCTTCCTATTTGCTTTGTATGGATAGTTTTACCACAGACTCTTTAAAATTGTCTTAGAAATAGTAAAGTAGAACAAATACACAAAGATCTTAAGTTGAACATAAAATTATAACGGGCAAGACCAATGGGTTTAACAAAATTTCAGATTTACTCTTATAAGTATTCTCTTTCCTACTGACAAACTTTTATTATACCTTCAAGTATTACTGGACAGTTCAAAGAATTATTTCTATTTCAAAGGGATTTATTAAGACTTTATAAAGTGAAACAAGTAAGGAAATACAAACACTTTCAATGATGGATGCATAAGAAACTTGCATAAGCAATTATACATGACCATATATTGCCTAGTGCCAGCAGTGAATCAACGAACTCTTGAAATGCGAACAGTTTAGTAAGGGAAGTCACACATCCCCAAATCCTTGGTGCCCTAATGATCATATGAAGTGTCCTGACAATATGTCTCAACATGGCCAAAATTCTCCCAGATTTAAACTGAAATGAATGACAAATTACAACAGTCTGTGTGCTAGCAACTTAAAAACTTATGTGAATATGTGTTAAGTTTGTGAGCATTCTCACTGAATCAATTAACTATATATTAACATATGATTTCTTCCAATCCAATCACATGGAATAAAACATACCATGTATCTTTAAAATCTCACTTTCCAGAAATTGTAAACTGACTTAGCTGATTTGAGCATCACCACCATAATATTATGTGACTCTTTGAAGAAAATGGAACTGCATGCAGGAATAAAGATGGGGATTTCAGGAAAGCACTAGAATCTTACAGTTTGTATATGCTGCAGAAAAACAATTTCAGACTGCAGCCCATATGGTTTTCACTACATTAAATTTGAACCACGAGTGCATTATAGTGTGGTGCAATTTTTTGCCATTGCCTGACCTATATATATCTAACGTACTGAAATCTGCCCCACCTACTGCTTATAGATCTTAAGTCATCCTAGTAAGTAGGTTGTCTTGCTCGTTTATTCTGAGACTGTTACAGTATTAATCTTACGAGTTTTCTAGCAATTATTAATGGCCATACTACGTTTCAATAAAATGTTATTTACGAACTGAAATGTACGTAGCGTATGGAAGTACGAAATGAATTTAATTACAAAATATTTACTTGAGAATGATTTGGCATTGATCCCATAGCCAAGGTAGCGATTCTCACTTATGTACAAAATGTTAAATTCTTAGAAACAACAGATGATTTTCAAGTCACCTAGAAGACAGATCATCCCAACCCACAAACATTAGCAGTGATGCATTTTCATAGATGGAAAATGTTAGGCTGCTGTGATGTACACAACTTGTAATATGAATTCCAATATGTACAAGTTACTTGTCATCTTTATTCACTTGATGAAATTTGTAGTAGATTATAAATCAGACACGTGAAACCAGATCTGAATCGAGGAACACATACTGGTTCTTTAATTTTACTCCCCTAGTTACGTTATGAACAAAAACTTTAATTTGAGGCGTAATTTTGAAAGAACTCTTTCCTACATTCCTATATGTCTTACACAGCCAAACAATTGGCAGCAAGAAATATATAATTGTCTCCGTACAGATGGATTCCAATAGAGTAAGTAGTAAAGATGCCAGTTTAATATGGCAGGCACAAGAGCATTCAGAAACAAATGCAATTGGAAAGATTTGAAATAAATAATTATGATTAAAACTATTATGAGTGTATATTCAATATCATATTATTCTCCTTATCATGTAAACTAAATTTTAAATTATAAATACAGAATTTCCAACCTAGAGTCAATATTATCAAAGATGAGAATAGTTATCTGCTCGCAGATCCCTCACAGGGTTTAGAATAGTTAGAAAACATTTTTTAACCAGGTGTTTAATGTTCATGGTATTACCCAGACAGATACACACACAGCTGATTCATGAGTGCCAGAACCTAGCCCCATCGAAGTGGAAACTACTATTGAGAAGTCAAAAAAGTATAAATCCCTGGTATTGGTCATATTACGGCCGAATTGATTAAATCAGGAGGCGTTGTCCAACGTTCTTCAGGCTAGGTTAACACCATATGCCAATTAAATTATTCGTGTGGGTTGCATAGTAATAGATCTACAATTGATCGAATTTTCTACATTCCCTAGATACCAGACAAAAACTGGGAATACAATGGGACAGTCCATCAACTATTTACAGACTTAAGAAAGCCTATGACTCAATTAAAAGAGAAGCTCTTTACAATATTTTGCTTGAATCTTGTGTACCTAAGAAGCTAGTCAGGCTAATTAAAGTGTGTTTAAATTAAACTTCCAGCAAAATTCATGTAGGTAAACATTTGTCCAATATATTTCCTATTCAGAATGGCCTGAAACAGGGAGATTCTCCATAGTCGCTGCTTCTCAATTCTGCCTTGGAATATGCCACAAGGAAATTTAAAAAATCAGGGCGATTTCTAATTAAAAGAGACACATCAGCTTTTAGCGTATGTTGATGATATTAATCTGTTAGGCGATGATATAAATACTATAAAAACCAACAAAGGACTCTCCTTAGAGCTAGTAGGGATGTTGGTCTAGAAATAAATGCAGACAAGGTTACGTATGTGATCGTGGCATCAGAATTCAGGACAGAACCAAAATATAAGGATAGCTAATGAATCGTTCGAAAAGGTGACAAAATTGAAGTACTTTGTGATGACACTGACCAGTCAGAATGACATTCATGACTAAATCAAGAGTAGAGTAAATTGAGGGCATGCCTCGTATCATTCAGTCTAAAAATATTTGTCCTCCCGTCTTACATAAAAAGGAAACTAAGGGTTAAAATATACAAAAGCGTAATTTTGTCAGTTGTGCTGCATGAGTGGAGAACTTGGTCTCTCACTTTGAGGGAGGAACAAAGATTAAGTGCCTCTGAGAACAGTGTTGAGGCGGATATTTGGACCTAAGAGGGAGGAAGACGGATCATGGAGAAAACTGCATAATGATGAGCTTCATGGCCTCTGCTCCTCACCTGATATTGTTAGGGTGATTAAAACGAGGATGAGGTGGGCAGGACATACGGCACGCTTGGTAGAGGGGAGGGGTATTTACAAGATGTTTTGTGAGGCCTGAAGGGAGGATTTTCGTAAGTAATCCCTTAATCATGTAATTTGTAAAGAGCAATCAATTGAAGATACAGCGACTGAGCAAAGCAATTTTTTGAGAAATAATACAGAACGTGATCTGGGAATAAACTGCACCCTGACAGTGCTGTAGCTCAGGCGGCTATTCGTCAACTTGTCACTGCGGAGGTCAGGGTTTGCACCCGGGGCAGTCCATCTAGGGATTTGTGGTTGGTAAAGTGGCTCTTTGTTAAGTTTTTTGGGCGTCATTCTTTTTTCCCCTGCCAATGTTCTCAAATATATCATCTGGTGGATGGGGTAATGTTATCAGGGTGTGTACTGGTTTAATCTGGCTCGGTATATGAATCAGTGGCAGGCACTGAACATGGTAATGGACCTTTAGGTTTCATGAATGCTTGGGAAACTTTTGAGTAGCCAAGTGACTTCTGATTTCTGAAGAAGGACTCTGTACAACAGGGTTAGTAAATGTAAAAGATACTGTTCAGGTTGTCAAACATATTACATTGCAGGGTGATATTTTTGTCCCACAATTATGCCTTCTTGGTTATTTAATATTAGGTCAGCATATTTTAGATTCTGGGGAAAGTAATTTCATGGGGGTTTAGTTATGAAGAAAATGTGCTGGGGTGAACAGGCACGCAGTTTCAGGTTGAAATAAATTGACATGAATTATCATCTGCAGCTGCAATTACTGTTAAGTTTAATTTTTCAGTTTTAAATGAATAATTGAACAATAAGCAGTTTGCAAACACAGAAGTGATATAGGTAAAGACATTTTAATATTAATGTAGACAACATCTGTACTATATAATTTTGTTTCTAAAGCTGCTTACCTATATAATAGTTTTATTAGGGGTACTCACAGCCCCTCGCTGTTAGGGAACACTGTCTTCTTTGTCATCAGTTTGTTTTAGAAGAAGCGCCATGGCAGTGCTATGGCACTCAAAGAAGCACCAAGGCTAAATACAGCCTTGAAGAAGCATAAATATACAAGAAAATACACAGTGAAGGTGTCTGTCTTACGGATTGTAGTGCCGAGTGGTCTGGTAGAAGTATTGCTGCCTCTTATTCATCGCCAAAATGATGAAGGTACCAAATACCTCTGGAACATCAACAAACTTCTACCAGACTAAATGGTACTACAACCCAGAAGACGACCATCTTCACACTCAACACCATGAGAATGCATTGGCTTTCCTTTTTTGAGAAACTTTAGCCACACATATTCAAGTTAGAGCCACACAGAATATAAAATTGTGTGCAACAGGGCCAACGTGTGTATAACAATTTAATGTTTAGTTAGAAAGAACATGTATGTGATTGAGCAATATACCACATCAAGTTTCAGCATAGTTTTTAAGGTAATAATTCACTTGTAAGTAAATTAGTATCAGTAAAGTCATTTTGAAGAACTGTTGATGCAAATGCAGAAATATATTAGTTTTAGCCAGGAAGTGGAGAGGAATTGTATGTTTCATGGAAGGATATGTAAAATCTGTTCATGAGTTTTAGAATTTTTATAGAAAATACTTAGAAAATAGTTGGTTTTCAAAAGGTTGTGCTTAAGTTAGTGCGGACTTCTATGTACTCTTAAAAGTTGCCTTTATAAGCACTTAAATGTGTAGGTATGATGTTTTCTGATTTTTATCTGGGGAAAAAGAATGTTACAAATTTACATACTCCTGAAACTAAAGCAGACATCAGTGACACAGAACATTCCCCAAGAAACACTGCACTTCTGTTGTGGCCACATCACAGTGTCTGCTTGTGTGATAGCAATCCCCTTTTTTTTTAAAGCAGAAGCCACTTGATTTCCCACTCCTGTTCATTGCGAATACTGAGCAGACTGAAGTGCGACATGCCATCTTATGCAAGTTGATCGATTAATGCTACACATTACTTTTATTTCAGGAATTTGGACAACTTAAACCATGTTTTATTCCTATGATCTGCTATGCCGCAAGCCAAATGGAAAATTTACAGTTATTTGGCTGTTGGCAAATTCTAGGAAGGTACATAATAGAGAAATCATGAAAATTTTGATTCCCCATATAGTGAAAGTATTCTTTTTCACATTTTTGTTTTCCCCAGGATGCTTGATTCCTGAGGCCTAGCCCACTGCGCTTCTTGCTCCTGGGTTTTCTGTGCCCACCTATAATTTCAAAATTCATTGCTTCGTCCTCATGCTTCCAACGTGACTTATTAGAGTACCACCAGAACTGACCACCTTGGGCTAGGTCACCTCTGGGGTCTGTACCCCCTAGGGAAAATATCAGAGATTTCTCCAAATCTTGATCCAAGCCCGAGTTGATACCCCTACAGTTTTACAGATTTAGCTTTTCCCCAGCAATCTTGTTCAGTGGGATTGGGCCCCTTGCACTTGTGCTCTGGAAGCTCACCCACCAGGCTTCATTTTCCAAACATTCCCCAGGCTTTCAGATTCCATAGTTTCAGCCTTTCTGTGCTTCGACACCACTGAGCTTTCTCCATCGTAAGACCTGCACATCATGCAAAATCTCTGGATTTCTAAAAGTCAGGCCTTCCACCTGTATGTCATGTCTTTCATTAGCCTGCTGAAGCATTCTGTTGCAACAGTGACCTTGAATACCACTGTTGGTTCTGATACCATTGTTACATTAATTTTTCTTGGTTGCCCTGCTAACATCATAACTCACGGTAAGCCATAAAGAATGCATTTGGAATTTTATTGCACTCAAAAGGCTTTCGCTATTTGACCTGAAATGCTTACATGATCCTGATTTATCAGATAAAGGTAATGTAGGCATATTGGGAATATTAAAACCTTTCATGTCGTGCAGTGTTGAATATTTACCTAACATATAAAATCGAGCATACAAACAAAACACTTGGTGCCAAACACGTTTCGATCTCAAGAGGTCATCGTTAGTGGCAAAAACATTAATTCATTAGTCTGTCTATTAAATCATACAGTTCATAAGACAGTGGTTTGTTATAAAGTGCCAAGCATGAAAAGGTCACACTTTATAAAACCATACTTCATGTAATACCACACTGGACGTTAATTGCACAAGAGTTGGTGTGGTTAAATTGAGTTACTTAGCTTAATGTCCACTGGCCTAAGTTTAGGTTTCCATTGTTGGTCTGTGGTGAGCTGTGGTTGCGTTGTCTGTCGCTGGATTGTGAACTTCAACGTTGCATGAGTATTACTGTCTGTCATATAGGGAATATGGAGGTAAAACAATTTTTATTGTAAATCTCAGAATTAAAAGATTTTGGAATAAAGACTCCAGAGCAGAAACATGCAATATACAGTCCAGGTACTGAATATATCAAAACATTATATTAATTTGTCCATGCAAGTCAGTATATCGGTCACTTAAGGAGGTCAATCTAAAACATATTTTATTTTAATAGAAATTTCTGGCAAGTTGCTTGTGTCATGCCAATGTATAAACCAATCTAAGTAAAATTTCAGTGTTTTTGAAAGACTTTTAAAAGACTTACTGAAAGGTTTTCTTAATTTGCCTTCATGATTGTAATTATTTGTGTCCAGCTGTATTTCTCATTATTGATATTTTATGTTTCATTTTTCAGCAACGATGTTGAAAATTTCATTGTTGGAAGTTATCCTGATCATTTGCTGAAAGTATTGGTAATAGTTTCTCTTTGTATCTCTCAACCAAACTGTGCCATGGAATTGTACTTGCCCTTAGAACACAGCTTATTTATTTCATGAGTATGTATACATGTGTTGAAATTCTCCATGCCAGGTTGTCAGCCAAACCTGAACCTCCAACTTCTTTCCCCTGATCTGTCTGGCTGGCTCTCAGGTTAATTGAAACTCTCAAAATTCCCTAATGAGCCACTTATCTGCTCAAGAAAGCTCATAGGTCATCATGTAAAGTGCCCATTATTGTCCTCCAAATTTGACCAAAGTTGAAACATGTCAAGAAATTTTAGTATACTGTGCAGTATCAAATTTGATGAAAATGTGCTCGGTGGTTCTGAAGTTGTTGCATGTGGACAGACAGACAGACATGGGAAAACAGTTTGTTTTTCGTAGTTCCTCATCCTTTACATGCCATGTTTTCCCTTGTATAGTTAATTTTTTGATGTATACTGTAATTATAATATACTGTAATTACTGAGTGTTAAAATGTGTTTAATATCTGCTGTTTGAGTTTTTGTTGAATATGTTTCTTTCTTCTTCTAGGTGAATTCTGTACATTAGCTTTGTACCCAACATCCAGGGGCATTGAAGGGCAAGTGAACTGCTTCAGTCACATTTTTTCTTGAGCATTCCTCTCATTATGATATTTAATTAATTAATGTTTTGAACATCATGATCAGATCTGTTTAAAACAGCATTGGACTTTTAATTAATTTGTTTTTTCACAAGCTTTCACAAATTACCTTGAATCTTGGTTTAAAAGTAGTAATGCAAAGATAACTGCAATATATCACTAATATAGAAAAATCAGTAATATGGAAAAATAACTACTGTTATAGTTATTAATTCTATTATTAGTATTAGCATATCTTTCCATGTCATGCAAGAAATTCAACCCTCATAATAGTTTGTATTTTAGCCCCACTATCAATTTAAGCCATTTGCTGTCTGGTTAAAAAAATCCCCCCAAATACACCATGAGCATTATTATGCCCTACCCATGCTTGACCCCTGGAAAGGACCCTGGTACCTATTGGGGAGGAGGCCAGAGGAAAAATTCCCTCTATACCCATCGGGGATCGAACCCCGGTCGTCACCATACTAACTGAGCTATCCCAGCTCTAGCAACCTGTCGTGATAATTTGAATTGTTTTATTGTCCTGCATTGTAGAATGTGAAAAAGAACCTGGATATTAATCATTTGAAAGCGACCAAGTTTTCGCCCGTATGAAAACCTCGGAGATCTGTGAGAAAATTATCGGCTAGTGAACTAGCCCAGTCATACTACACACCAGAGAGAATTCACCGGGGCGTAACGAGCAAAATAGCTTATTACTACATTTAGGGCCAGCGCACACGTAAGACTTAACCGTCGGTTGACTGTTCTGTCGTCGGCTGAAGCATACGACCCATAAACGACACGACAGTTCAGTCCATGAGCATGGGTACACGTACGACTAAACAGTCGTTCTTTTGATCTCTTTTGTTCCACATTCTTCGATCTATGCTCGCCGAGTACAGAAGTCAGGAATGTTGCAAGAAGAGAATATCGAACAATTAATTGAAGAGGTAGACAAAAAATTAAAAGATTATGCAAACATCAATGTTAAAAGAGTACTTTGGCAAGAGATTTGTTCAGTTGTGCCAGTCTTTCTTTAGGTGAAATAGCGAGACGCATATCCGTATCTTGATAGGTTATACTCGGTCTCAGCAATAATAGAAGTTCATCAAAACTTTGTGTACTCATGCGAAAATATGAAAAGAATTTTGCAGGATAATTCCGTAATGTTTCATACATAGTATGGAATTTTCCTTTGAACAGTCTCTCACTGTATAATGGATGCACCCAGTAATTCCTTTTCCTCCATTTATTGAGGCGTATCACAAGTGCACATACTATCGCAGTTTCAACAAAATCCATGTTTGACGATCGTCTACTCTCTGCAAATGCTCTCACGAAATGAAAGGTCGTTCGTCTTTGCGCTTTCAAATAATTCGAAGGGCCAACGACAGTTGGTAGACAGAAAAGTCCGGGGTTGCCAGTCGTGTCGTAACAGTGTGCGCATCTCTATACGTTCTTAAGGGCTTTGTGCGAAAGACGAAACAGTCATCTGACTGTTTGTCTTACGTGTGCGGTTACAGTTGAACAGTGAAGACCCAGGCTGCGTGTGTTGCAGACGTGGCAGGTTATCCCGTGGTTTGGTTAACATGGTGGAAATGTGTTGTTCCAGGTAAGGTTGTAATATTTTAGTCTAACCAGAAAAGGGAATACGAAAAGGCCTGTGATGTTATTCTGAATTCAGTAAAAATCATAAAAACGCCCCATTCATGATACTGGAAAGACATTCCTGATACGCAGTCTGCTCCATAAGAGTTTTCCTACGCCTTCGGCTACATACTTTTAGATAATGGTCACTGATGGAAGCGTGTACAATATTTCCCCATATCCCAAATTCTGCGTGACCCCAACTACACTTGGGTTTAAGGAGAGATGAACTATTATAACGCTGGGATATTGTCGCGCTACCCAAACTTTCTTTTCAGGCACAACGCTCAGACCATTGCAGAATCCACAGTACCCAGGGCAGAAAAGAAAGATTCTGGAGTCCTACAGAACCATATTATTGCATTGTAGTTCAATATTTTGTAATATTTACTAATGTGTTATATTGTATTGGTTTATCATTTTGAGGGAATAATTCGTAGATCAGAACAAAATGCTGAGGAGAATGTTATAACTTAAGCTCCAGCTTATGAAACGTAATTTTATTGACATACACACGATGGACACAATCCAAAATACCACTTTTACAGATTAAGAGTAATTATAAGAAATGAGAAATACACATAAAATTTCTGAGACCTTGTGGGAAGAGGTCACTTACGAGACCTATATGTAGATACTCTATGGTGCAGGATATTCTTTGAAGTTGATTGTTACTTGGCTTGTCAAAGAACAACCCACTTTCTTTAAAAAACCCGAAGGTTCATCACCGTGCTTCCAAAAACCCGCCACCAGACTATCCTGAGCTAGCTGCATCCAGTTCGCTCTATCGAGTCTTATCTCCCTTTGTACCATTTTAATGTTATCCTCCTACCCATGCCTAGTCTTTCCAATGGTCTCCTCCCTTCAGACCTCCAAACCAATACCCTGTAAGTGCTCTTCCCCCCATGCGTGTCGCATGTCCTGCTCACCTCACCTCATCCTCCTCAATTTAATCACCCTAACAATATCAGTTGAGTACAGGCTCTGTAGCTTGTCATTATGAAATTGTCTCTATGAACTGTCTCCCTCCTTTTAGGTCCAAATATCATCAACACTCTTTTCTCAAAGACCCTCAATCTATGTCCCTTCTTCAAAGTGAGAGACCAAGTTTCACACCCATAAGCATGACTGACAAAATTCCACTTTTGTATATTTTAACCTTTGGTTTTTTATATGATACAAGAGGACAAAAGATTTTGGATTGAATGATAACAAGCATTGCCTGAATTTAATCTACTCTTGACTTCTTCATAAATGCCATTCTGACTTGATAGTGTCATCCCCACATTTTTGAACGATCCATTAGCTATCCTTATATTCTGATTCTGTCATGAATTATGATGCTGAGACATGAAGAGCTATGTGTAGACCTCTATGTAGATGGGGATAATATTAGAAATGATCTTAGGGGCATATGGATTCATCTGGCTTAGGATATTACCAATGACAGGCTTTTATGAACAAGGTAATGTGCCTTTTGGTTTCATGAAAAAGATAATTCTTGACTGATGAAGTAACTTATTGTGTAAAGAAAGACCTTGCACCATCAAACTATCTTCATTTCTTATTATAACATATAAAAATCTACGTTTTTTAACAATATCAGATTTACAAAAATTATGAAATTAGAAAATGTTAAAACCATAACCAATACTTTGTTCAAAGTGCCATAACTACTACTGAAAACACATACACACACACAAATGGAAACTGGAATGCATTTTATACACATGTCTCAAATCTGTGCTCTTTCATACGTCAGTTCAATTTTTGATTCTCGTTTGTGTGATAATGAGGAAGGCAGTGCATACTTTTATACTCTTATGATCATGAAATGTGGCCTCCAAATGACTGACCTAATCCTCATTCATAATAAATTTGATTTTCTGACAGCTTTCTCACAACAAGCAGGGAAGGATGCAGTTCAAAAATCCAAACATTGCCATGTTAAGAAATATTCAGTATCATATTTGGAACAAAGTGAGTGATGGTATAGTATGCCCATTGATCATATCTGTGTAAAATTTGAAGGAAAAGCCAAGAGGAAACAGCCATAAATTCTTTTTATGGACTATACTGGCAGGACAGCCAGTCTCCACCTGGGTTTCTAACCTGATTGATTCTGAGTGAGTCATAAGGCCCTTATCACTGCATGTGTAGCACAGTTAAGTGCCATACCTAAAAGGTTAAGGGTCAAAGGTTGTATAACCTCAAATAAGCTGGAAAAATTATGAATGATTTCAGATAGTTGTGGCTCTTCGTGTACTATCCCAGCATAACTTGGCTAATGATCTGAAGCAGGCACAAGCCTACTGCCATAACAACCTGCAGACTACAAATAAGTTATGACTGTGGAATAGGGACAGGAGATGTCCTAAAGGGACAAAGGGAACCACAACATTCTGCATTAAGACTTACACACCAATTAGAAAAGAAAGAAGTTTTCAAACCTGCCTATTGATCATTTTCAGGGCATACAAATTCAATGACCTGTTACTAGTGTTTTTAATATTAACAATGAATGACTCATCTACACCAAGAAGAACCAGAAGAATTCTTGACTGCCTGCTAAAAATGTTCATATAAGTACATTAAATGAGATAGGCTGCTCTTACACTAACAGACAACATTAAAAACTGCAGAATATTGAAAAAGCCAGTCAGACATAGAGTTAAACAGAAGTAAATTTCTAGCCTTGTTTCATAAAACAGAATAAATTCACAGAAACATTTTTTGTACGTCCACCACACCCCAAAACTACTGAACCGGTGAAACAATCTGGTTTGAGGGTAATGACATCAGAGTAAGCAGAGCACAAAGAAAATTTAAGATTCTAAAATTTTGTGTCATAGCAGAATTTAAAATACATATGGTTAATATTATTACTATTACACAGTAATTTGGACTCTGAAATAGCTTCAAGGTTTATAGTTTGAACCCCAAAGCCTCAAGTTAAAATATTCCAGTCACCTGTAAAATTATGAACTAGAGTATGTAACTGGCAAGAGACTGAATCTGTTCAGTGGAAGAATGTTAGTTCTCGCTAGTTCTCCATTCAGACAGAAGCATTAAACTTTTATTTTTTAAGGAAAACAGGTGGGATGACAGCTGTATTTTAACTCTGGTGTTAATAGTGGCAGTATAGTGCTGCCACACATGAACAGCTGGAGTGTGTGTAAGATGTGAAACACAATTTGTAAAGTTAAAAGTATGAATAGTGAAGAGGGTTTAGATTGAGGCAAACTTTATCATTTTTCCCAGAATGTCTTGTCTTAGGACATTGTGTCCAAAATCTGTCCAATCTAACACCCAATTCCAACATTTCAAATGACAGACTTAATATGTACATACCACCAATACTGGCATAACAACACTGATTAAAATATAACATTTCAAAAGAACATCTCAAACTCTTATAACACATTATTAACAACATATTTAAAGGACACTTAAATCACAATAACATTTTGCAATACACCCTGGCATAAGCAGCACAAATCAGCTTCAGGTTTGTGGTTGACAATATTCTTCACTTGTTTTGTAATGGTTTTTGTAAACACAAAAATGCCACAAAAGAAGTCTCTCTTACAGGTCTCTAGTATTGTTTCTAACACTTCAAACCTGCCTCAAAATTCAGAGTGTAGAATGAACTAATGTACACATGCAGTACCTTGACATTTTCTAATGAAATCTGCTAACATTGAGTTCTACCACATAACATTAAAATGGATGGAACAAACTATTGGTATACAGTTAACACATCAGGTCTTTCAACAAGAGGTACTGATGTACTATCTGTATATGTAATACAAAAATATGCATTTCATGCAACAAAACTGCTTGGCAGTAACACTTATGCACCACATGATTCAACATCTACAATAAGGGGAGTCCATTCGTCCCATTCTCCATGTGCCTATGCACTGTCAGTGATAATTAAGCACACACGTGGTTGCCGGAATACATTATGGATTTAGCTAATTCTGTTTTGGAGTGAGAAAAGAATAAAACTCACTAAATTAAAAGTTAAAATTTCTGGACATTTATTATTTTTGTAAATTAATTTTGGTTTTACTGATAGAATTCTCTCTCTTACTTTACATAAAGAGAAATTCTGACAATAATGTATTGTTTTAGGAACCAGACTGATTTTGATTTTAAACTAGGAATGCCAAGGTGAGTAGAAATAGTGTGATAACTATTTGTCAGTAGGAGGCAAGTCATGTATATAGGTCTCGAAGTATTCCTGCCTGAATCTTCTCTCAAATCCAAACATTTGCAAGGTCCTGATTTACGGGGTGCAGTGCCTTGTTTAAATTTCGTAAAACATCCTCTCTTGAATTCCATATCTACTGTGTCAACACAATTTTTGGGTCATAGCATGCAGAGCTGGAATATATTTGGGTAGTTTCATAGGATTTTACTGCCTCAGTCTTCATGGTAGAAGACTGGAGTTCCTCTGCAACATCAGAAATTTCTTCCTATGCTATATACCAAACGGAAACTCATCCCTGCATTTTCTTTGTTGTGCCTTATTTTTACACTTGCATTAAATTAGTCGAGTAAAAAGTTGTGGGTACAACTGTTTTGTCAGCACAAGCAGAATGCTGTCTACAAAGGTGAGAACCTCTTGGACACATCCAGTTTTAAATGTACTTCAGCATTGAAATAACTTGGCCAGTTTTCAACACATTCTAAATCTGATGCAGTTTTCGTTGCATAAAGGGGCAGGGAGAATTATTATTCTTCATTCAAAAATATCTTAACCGTTGCATTCATGAATTTGAATTTTATCATAAATTGAAAAGTTTGGTACAACACATCCCTTTCAAATCTGCACTTAGACTCGTCAGACATTCACAAAATCATTATTCCATAATGAAATGTAAAATAATTTTCTGGGTAATTCATCCAACAGTAAGATGATATTTACTTTAAAAATGAGAGCTATTAGAACTATGACTGGTGTAAGTCTAGAAATTCATGGAGAAGTCTATTTAAGAGGTTAGAGATTTTACCTCTTCCCTGTGAATGCATATTCTTATTAATGAACTTCACTGTAAGGGACCAAGAACATTGTCAGACAACTTTAGCTGTACACAGTGTTAACGCAAGGAATTAGAACCATCTTTATAGACCAACTGCCATATTTTCATGTTTAGGAAAATTCATACTATTTTGGCATCAGAATATTCAATGTCTATCATCACGACTTTCTAAAAATGTTTCTCGTAAAAGTAGGTTGAAACCTTCCCCATTGAAGTCCTTCCTGAGCACTTTTCTTTAAGTGTGCAAAGAGCAATTGGCTGAGCCTTTATCCAGAATTTGGAGAATGCACAAAAGATACAGGATATGTTCATACCAAGAAATGGATGGTCAATTTAGAGGTTGGGAATGTAATATTTACTGAGGAACTCTGCATTGCTAGACCACAGCGATAGACAATGCAAAACTTGCAAGACTGAATGCCATCTTCAGAGAAAGTTGAGCAGCACAGATGAACCAGACAACGTGCTACTATTATCTGATATTTCTGTTGGGTTGGACAGTATTATAAGTTGGCTGAACTGCCTAAGTGGGATGAGAAATACAGACCTCACATTGACAAGCGCTGGCCAAAGCATCCAACTAGAGACAGAAAGGCAGATGTCATGGTCACCTGAATTAAGACAAATGGCACTTACTGGACTTGGCCTACAATGAAAAGGACATCATAATGCAAACTAAAATTGCAAAGAAGAGCAACTCCTAGGGTTGCATATTCAGTGTCATAACTGCAAAACCACTCATTGCAACAATTCAGCTTTATTATTCAATCAGATATGTATTCTATAGCACTTCCTTTACCCTATAGATATTATGTATCTTCCCTATACGAATTTTAATATACCTTCCAATATGCTGCCCTAGTTCAAATTCTTAATATTAATAACTATATAATTCTTATAAATAGTGTTACACATTCAGGATTGTACTATAATCATAATCCCAATCATCTCTATTTCTATCTTACATGTTTTTATATAAAATTGGAATCATCCTTAAAATTCTACACTTATCAATTGATATTCATATAAAATTATTGTAAATTTTATTTATTTGAACTGCCTTGTATGTTTTTGTTTATAAATTCCTGTATATCCTACCTCTTAGAAATCTGTAATTTAATACTGCTTTCCCTGGATGCCAGAGATACAGAATGCTTCAGACCACGAGATCTTCGTGGAGACTTCCCCCTACATCATATTCATTGATCATGATTTGATGACACTACAACTTACCACTTTATACACAGATGTGTAACTATCTCAAATGAATACAAACTGTTGTATTTTGTTAGTAAACAATTACCAGTGCACTAAAACCTATAGCCAGTGCCATAAACTCTGTCACATATTTCTGAGATCATTCCATGAAATCAGCAGTTACCAGGCTCCAAGTACATTCATTTGTTGGCTCTTGGCAGAAACGAATGGTGCTCATTTTCACGGCTTATAACACTGCATTAATGGTTTCTAGATGACGCCTTAAGAAAGGCCTGCAGCAAGAGGGAGCATCATCTATTTCTCATAGAAAAATATACTTGAAAATTATGCAAAAATAAATTAGTTCAGTACTGAGGAGAGGATAGTCACTAGTAATGAACAAAGTGAACATTACTGTTATTTGCATGATGGCAAAAGAAGCATTACAGGAACATGTGGCTTATCTTTTCTCACTTGAAGATGAACAAAACTCCTCTCCTGTGTTCTCTTGGATTTTACTGAATTGTTACACTTATTTGTTTGCTAAACTTCAGTCTGTGGAACTCCTGCCTGGTCTACTCTTGTCTTTGGCTTCCTGGAACCTGGGATCGGTGTTGGCTGCTTCCTTGGTTCACCTGTAGGGGAACTAGTGGTGAAATTTGATGAATCTTTAAGCGAGGCAGAACTGCCCGTTATTCGGAGAGACGGCGTACTGGCAGTCCGTCGAGGGTCAAAACTGTTTTGAGGCTCACGGGATTTCATCTGGCTTAACTTTGAAGCGGGTGGGGGCGTGTCACGATACTCCATTGTTGCACTCTGATTGTCAATTCCATCTCCATGCTCTCTCACATCATCTCGCAGAACAATGATGTCACCATTGTAATAGTGATCTGATTGTCTGGAAAGAAAATTGAGGCAGTAACATGATCAACTGGGAAAGTGTGTTCATGTTATGATAAGTGTCAGCTTTGTTTAAAGTACAAAACATTTACTTATTTTTGAACACTTTTTACAAGATATTTAAAAAATCTCTTACGTACCTCACAACAGCTTAAGTTATGGAGTCATCGCTCAGTAAGATGGCAACAGTCCACACTTTACATGATCTACTACACACACACTGTAAGCACTCAAGCTATAACAGTTTCTAAATATTTTTGCAGTCTGGAGATGTCTCCTAGGACTGCAGTGGATTGAATTGGTGTGTGCTGTATGGCAAGATTACTAAGCCCTTGTTAGTCACTTCAAGACCGCTAGTAATAAATAACCCTAGCATACAATAAAGAGTAAGCCACCCACGTGGGACTTAAATTATCCTAAACAGTACTTTATTTAAATTCTAAAGGGTTTTGACGATGGTAGTTTACACTTAAAATTATTCATTGTCAGGACGTTTTCCATCGTCTGTTCTTGAAAACCACGACGTTTCGGAGGCTGGTTCTGTACTTTACTTGTATTGAATATGGGTTTTTTATTGGATACACTTATGGAATGTTAGGACATTTCGGAGGCTGGTTCTGTACTTTATTTGTATTGAATATGGGCTTTTTATTGGATACACTTATGGAATGTTTGAACTCTCCTTAGAGGTACAAAAGCATTCTACATCACTGATGCACACTGCAAATCAAGTGTGTGTGTCAATGTGCTCTAATACAGGAAAGCATTTTCAATTGGATCTGAATTCTGTTACTCCAGGGACCTTCCAAGGTATCCCTTTGTTCAGGGGAAAGTCATAAATAAAACAAGGCCAATTCTTTAGGAGTCTGCAAAAGCTAAAAACCAGGATGCTAACAACAGATGCAGCATATTGTTGTAAGACTGGCAGTACTGAATGAGAGTCCAAGTAAACCTGCTTAAGATAGCTAAATGCGTTTTTCTGTTAGACTTTATTATGTGGATTTGAATCAGTCGTATTAAACCTTCTGCTGATTGTGCTCTTATGCTCTTTTATTATATATTATACTGACTTGTTGATCTTTATCAAACAGTACTTTGTTTTTTTAATTATACTTCATGCTGAAGCAACAAATTTTAGATACGTATACTGTTTCCCAATATCATATTTTCAGAGTCTACAACAGTTGATTACTTGGGTATATTAGTCTTATTTATTATTTCTTATAGACTGGTCTGATGGCCAATATAGCAATCATGAGTTATCTCCCGCAGAAGATTAGTGCCGTCTGTAGGTCTTATGCTGAGTAATTCAACCAGGGGGCTCAACAAATACATTTTCTGTTTTTGTTCTTCCCTTATTATTATTACTGGATGATGAAAGCAGAATCCACCTTTTGCAAGACTGTAACTTTATAATGAAAATGAATGAAGTTTAAAATATTACAGTACTTTGATAACTGGACTATAATCTTACACAGCTGGTCCTCAGCAACAGGACCCATACCACTGGTACTCTTTCCTTTAAGGACTGAGACATCTCAAATATGTATTAGTACAATGGGCAATGTACAAAGAAAATATACTGTCATAATGATGCATGGCCAATATCAAGAATTTAGACCTGCATCACTGACATGCATTCTGATACTCTGAGTACCACATGACAAGTTCCTTGCCTTCCACCTCATAGTAAGCACGTGTTAACATGCAAACGTAACATGCAGTAAGACATTCCAACAGCATCTGATAAGCAAGAGAGACAGCACTCGTGTACTCATGATCAGGACTGATGATTCAAGTGTTTGGCATTTCATCTAATCCAACAGTAATTTTAATATTAACAAGCTGTCTAGTTAAAGATGGCTGTCTTCTGGGTTATGCTGTGTAGTCTGGTAGAAGTTTACTGACGTTTCAGAGGTCATTGCTGCCTCCATCATCAAGGCAATGAGTAAGCCACATGAGTGGAAACAGTTTGAGTTACAGGAAACTGACAGTCAAGGAAGAGTCTAACCATAACCAGTGGGGACTGGTGTCAGAATCAGGCAAGGACATGTGAACTAACAGAAGCGTGGGGGCATACCAGAGGGAGAGAGAGGAAAAGAAATAATGGTCTGAGAAAGCAGCCCTTTTATGGAGTGTGGGGGCATAACAGAGTGAGAGAGAGGAAAAGAAAAAATGGTCTGAGAAAGCAGCCCTTTTATGGGCCCCTTGGAGTCCGGCCGGTAACTCACCGGACATACGGGAGGTGGGTGGACATGATGAGGAATCAGGAGAGTGGAAGTGAGGACTGATCAGGGCAAGGTGTGCCCTTAAAGGGGCAGAGTAGTGGCTCAGTGGCCCAGACAGGACTGGCAATGTCTGATGCAACTTGGTGAAGATTTCTGACTCAAAAAAACAATTCACCAGATGAGATATTATCTATTCTTTTGGCACAGTAAAAATTGGGAAATGTATCCCTAAATTGATTCTGGCAAGTAAGAACAAGATGCCAGGTAGTGTTCGACAAACAACATTTGTTGCACTTTTGAAAAAGACGCCCTTGCAAATCAACCACTGAAAGACAACTGACGGACTGGCGCAAACAGGTTACATGATGTGACCTGTATGAGCTCTTGTATAATCACAGTGATGTTGTGTGTTTATTAATCTAATCAAATACCCTAATTGTAACCATCAATAAATATTTTAATGTGGGTTGCATGACCTTTCAATCACTCTATACATTAGGGTTTATACAAAAACCGACTTTTTAAAAAACCGGTTTTCAAATTCCAGTATTTCCAAAAACCGGTTTTCAAATTTTTGCAAAAACAAAAACAAAATATAGTTAAAACATTAAAAAAATATTTATACTTATTTTA